TTTCAAGGTAAGGGAAAAGAGAGAAGGGAGGGTCAAGATGCTGAAAGACCCTTAAATTCCCTCTGTAGGGTCCCATCTTAGTGTTTCCTGTTCCTGTGTAAGAAATATATCCCATTGGCTGTCAAGACTCCCAGGGGTGGGGTCTTAGCTAACTTTGTAGGCTTTGTCTGGACCACATGGCTTCACCTGAGTGTTGGCTGATACAATCTTCCCAGGCCAGGTGGTGAGATGGGCAGAGGCCTTTATTATGTAGGCTGTTCTGTACGATCCATTTGCATACTTGTAAACACCGCGCCGTGATTGGTCAGAGCGCACGGCAACCTGATTGGCTGAGCGAGCCGCACTGATTGGCCCACCACGAATCCCCGCGATTGGTGGAAACTAATCGTGGGAGATTCAAAGTGGTGCCATTGGTCGCGGCCGCTGCGGCCAGGGAGATATAAGCCGCCGCCGATCTTCCAAAGGCCGAGCCGATCTTGGGACTTAATAAAGAGTTGAAACTGGTCACTGGCTCCCGAGTCTACTTCCCGACGACGGATCTAACACTGGCGATGAGGATGGGATCCCGGGACTGATACCCACCGAGCATGTGGTCCCGAAGGAACAAGATCGATGAGATGGCCAGCCTCGCACCGCCCGCACCCTTTAACCAAGCTACCGAGGACTGGGAATCGTACATTGATCGGTTCCTGATGTTCCTGGAGAGTAGCAACCTCAAGGACGCAAATGGGCAGAAAAAAAGGGCTGTTTTCCTGACACACTGCGGGCCCGCAGTGTTTAAGATGGCGAAAGCCCTTGCAAAACCCGAGGACGTGAAGGCGATGGACTGGGCCGACCTCGAACCGCTGCTCCGAAGCCACTATGCTCCCGCCGTGCCCACCCTCATCAGGCAGCACGATTTCTACCTGCGGGACCAGAAGCCGGGCGAGAGCATCAGCGATTTCGTGGCAGACCTACGGAATCTAGGTGGCATGTGCGGCTTCACGGACATGGATGAGGTCCTACGAGACCGCGTCGTCCTCAGGCTCAGGGACCCGGTCTTACAAAGCCGGCTGATGGCCAAGGGCGACATCTCCCTCGCCGACACCCTTGCCGAGGCCACCGCAGCCGAAGCGACCCGAAAATCAGTGGCCCGAATGCGGAGATCTGATACCGGGGATCGAGCCATGACCTCCGAGGTGGCCACGACGACTGAGATGCACCCAGAAGCAAGCCGCCGAGCAACCACCACCACCCACCATGGCGACCTCGACTCCGCCTCCGACACCATGGACGACGAGGAGGACATCCATCGACTCCAAACAGAACAAGACTGGCACGATCGGCGGAGTCGTAAGTTGGGACCCCAATGTGCCGGGTGCGGAGGCGACCACCCTCGATTGGAGTGCCGGTTTTTCGACGTGATCTGCCGACACTGCGACAAGAGAGGCCACATCGCCCGAGTCTGCCGACTCAAGAAAGCCTACAGCCCCCGACGCCGAGACAACAGCGACCGGAGACGAGACGGCACCCCCCCCAGGCCCAGGGACCGCCAAGCCGAGAGTCGTTGGAACCGGGACGGACGGGGCCGACGGAACGGCGAGAACCGGCAGAGAGAGGAAACCCACCAGACGGTCGTCATTGGCCATTCATCGAGCGCAGACGCCCGAAAGGTATACGTGGAAGTGGGCATCGAGGGCAAGCCATGCAAGATGGAGGTGGACTCCGGGTCCTACCTCTCCATGGTTGCATGGTGGGAAATCAAGCGCCTGGTGCCTGCAATCCACAAGAGGGGGCTGGAAAGCTAGAACTTAATCCTTAAAGACTACCAAGGGAACCGCATCCCGGTAGTCAGAACAGGACACTTCGAAGTAACCTTCAAGGGGCGCGCAGCAAGGCTTCACCTGACGGTCGTGGACAGAGACCGCCCTAGCCTTTTGGGACTGCAGTGGTCCGCGCCGCTCGGAATCGAGGTAACGGGCATCGACCACATCGGGGAGGCCGACTGGGAGGAGCAACTCGCGAGGGACTTCCAGGAAGTGTTTGACGGCACCCTAGGCAAGTACCGAGGGCCCCCTATTTTGTTCAGCCTAGACCCCAGCGTTCCCCCAATTCGCCTGAAACCACAGCGGGTACCATTCGCACTCCGGCCAAAGATCGATGAGCAAATAGACAAGCTCATCAGACAAGGGGTCCTAGAGCCAACTGATCACGCCCGGTGGGAAACCCCCATAGTCACCCCAGTCAAGCCCGATGGGTCGGTGAGAATCTGTGGGGACTATAAGGCCACCCTAAACTGCGCCTTACAACAAAGCGCCTACCCCGTCCCAGTAGTGCAGCACCTCCTACACTCACTGGGGGGAGGCAAGGTTTTTGCGAAGCTCGACCTGGCGCAAGCCTACCAACAATTACCGGTCGACGCGGAAACCGCCGAGGCGCAGACCATAGTAACCCACCGGAGGGCTTTTCGCTGTAAGAGACTCCAGTTTGGAGTCAGCGTGGCCCCAGGAGTTTTCCAGAGCCTCATGGAGAGACTCCTGCAAGGAATCAAGGGGGTGGTGCCCTACTTCGACGACGTACTGGTGTCAGCAGCCAACCAAAAAGAACCGGAGGGTCGCCTGAGGGAGGTACTAACGAAATTCAAAGAGGCCGGGCTAAAAGTCAAAGAAGAAAAATGCCAGCTGCATACAGAGAGGGTCGAGTTCCTAGGATATCTCCTAGACCGGCACGGCATTCACCCAACCGAGAAAAAAATCAGAGCCATCAAAGAAGCCCCCAGACCAAGGAACAAAACAGAATTGCAGGCATTTCTTGGGCTGATTAACTTCAACAATGTTTTCCTACCCCAAAAGGCGACCACGGCGGAACCGTTGCATAGGCTGCTCGATAAAACAGCCACCTGGACCTGGGGGAAACGAGAGGAAGCCGCTTTCAACCAAACCAAGGACCTACTCACATCGGATGCCATCCTCATCCAATACAACGAGACCCTCCCGTTGACAGTCACGTGCGACGCATCACCGTTTGGGATCAGGGCGATCCTCAGCCACACACTCCCAAACAGAAACGAAGCACCCATCGCTTTTTACTTGAGAACCTTGTCGGAGCCGGAAAGGAACTATAGCCAACTCGACAAGGAAGCCCTGGCAATCATCGCCGCCATCAAAAGGTTCCACGAGTACCTCTACGGCAGAACATTCACCATCATCACAGACCACAAACCACTGTTGGGCATCCTGGCAGGAAACAAGGCCACCCCGAACATTCTATCCCCAAGAATGACAAGGTGGTCTGAGTTCCTCACCGCCTACAGTTACCGGCTGACCCACCGACCCGGCAAAACGATCACACACGCAGATGCCTTGAGCCGCACACCGCTACCCGACCTGGACGCCGACCCAGCACCCACAACATCCACCCTGAGCATCGAGGCCATACCCAACCTCCCCCTAACCGCGTCAGACATTGCCCACGAAACTAATAAAGACAAACGTCTGGCGCGGGTATTACAATGGGCAGAGAAGGGTTGGCCAGAAAAAGACGTCGACGAGACATTCAGGACTTTTAAAAACAAGCAAATGGAACTTTCCACGCAAAAGGGTTGTATACTATGGGGGGACAGGGTGGTAATCCCAGAAAAATTACAAAAAAGGTTCTTGGACCTGTTACACAAGGGGCACCCGGGCATCATCAGATCGAAAGCCCTGGCCAGAAGGTACGCATGGTGGCCAGGGATAGACAAACAAATCGAAGCCTGGGTGGCAAGCTGCAAGCAATGCCAAGAATCCAGGCCAAGCCCACCCGCCGCCCCAATCCTGGAATGGGAAACCCCCAGGGGACCATGGTCCAGGATACACATAGACTTCGCCGGGCCCACAAAAGGACATACATTTCTCATAACGGTAGACGCTTACTCCAATTGGCTGGAGGTAAGCGACATGAGAACGACCACCACCGAGGCCGTCATCAGAGAACTCAATAGACTATTCTCAACCCACGGCCTCCCGGACGTGATTGTGTCAGATAACGGACCACAGTTCACCGCACTGGAATTTGAGAAATTCCTAGTGGAACGGGGGATACGGCATGCCCTAACAGCGCCGGCACATCCGGCGGCGAACGGTAGGGCGGAACGAATGGTTCAATTCACGAAAAAAAAAAATCAAAAAATCAAAACGGGGGACATGCAAGAAAAAATAAATAAACTACTTTTTATCCAACACATAACACCAAACACAATGACCAACAAAAGCCCCACAGAACTACTAATGGGGAGGAAACTAAGGTCCCCTTTGGATAGGCTGCACCCCACGTACAAACCCACCGACTCATCCAGCAGGTACCGAACATTCACACCAGGAGACGTGGTATACGCAAAAAACCTTAGAGGGGACCCGCTCTGGATACCGGCAACGATAACCCAGGCAACAGGTCCCCGCTCGTACCGGCTACAAACAACCGACGGACGAGCATGGAAACGGCACATCGATCAAATAAGATCGAGAACAACCACGGGAAACACAACCGACACGCAAACAGACAGAAACACACACCCAGAAAGAGAAGGGAACCATCCCAACACTGACCAAGAGGGGAGGGAAAGCCCCAGGAACCAACCCCAACCAGAAAGAAACCAGGAATACTTACCAACCGAGACAGAAACAGACAGACAGCTCGAAGCCTCACCAGGAAGAAACAGCCAGGCCAGTTCAACCAGCCCAGAAAGACCAGGTGGGAGCGACAACACCAGCAGCTCGACCAGCCCGGGTAGACCGGGAGGGAGCTGCGACAAAAGGCCCGGCTCACCCTTCCAGGCGGTTCCATCGACGAGGCAGAGAGCAACACAGAACCTGACCGAACCGGCCGAAGGCCAGGCATCAACTAACCTGTGCAGGTCAAGTAGGCAAGTACGGAGCCCCGCCTACTTACGGGACTACGTCACGTAGGGCCATACCAAGAGGGGAGGGGTGTTCTATACGATCCATTTGCATACTTGTAAACACTGCGCCGTGATTGGTCAGAGCGCACGGCAACCTGATTGGCCGAGTGAGCCGCACTGATTGGCCCGCCGATTGGTGGAAACTAATCACGGGAGATTCAAAGTGGTGCCATTGGCCGCGGCCGCTGCGGCCAGGGAGATATAAGCCGCCGCCGATCTTCCAAAGGCCGATCCGATCTCGGGACTTAATAAAGAGTTGAAACTGGTCACTGGCTCCCGAGTCTACTTCCCGACGATGGATCTAACACAGGCCTAGGCCTTAATGGCCCATTAGCACAGATGTGAGGGGGTGAGTTTCTGCCTCTCTGAGTTTCTACTTTATTCTTTTTAGGGGAAATATTCTGCCTTTTTAATATTTCCTAGGATATTTCATTTTTCTAGGGGAAGCGTGGGTGATAACTTCCTACAGCCCTTTAATAAGCTGGTTGGATCAATAAATAATTGATCGGAAATCTGTCCCATAGATGTTTCTTTCTCCCCGGGATTCTTCAATATCCTTCCTTTTAGCACAGGATTGGGGAACGGTGTCCCTTTTATGATTTGTCAATTTCAACTACCGAAATTCCTCAGCCAGCTGGCTCAGGGATTCTGGGAGTTGAAGTCAATCAATCATTCAAAATACAGCTGGGTGGGACCTTGGAGGTCTTCTAGCCCAGCCCCCTGCTCAAGCAGGAGACCCTGGCCTATACCATTTCAAGTCTACAAGTCATAAAGGGGCCATGGTCCCCCCCCACTCTTTTAGCAGAATGTTTGGGTCAATACTTGATTTGAGGGGGGGGCACCCCATGAATATTGGCTTCTCCCCAATTTTTTTTCATGTTTCTTTTACAGGATGCTAGGATCAATTATAATTGATCGGGGTTCATCCCAGGGATGTTTGCTTCTCTCCAGTTTTTAGAACAATTTTCCCTTTTAACCAGCTGGTTGGGCTAATAATAATGGATCGGGGGTCTGTCCCGTGAATTTTTGCTCCTTTCCAATTTGTTCCTGTTAAAATAGTGCACTTCTTTAAGAAGCCAGCGAAACTGGGGAGCAAGATCAACAATTCACTTCGATTTC